AAGTGATCCATCAGTCAGGTCAGAAAGAACACGCTAAAAATATCTTAAAGGCGATGCTGAAAATTGACCCCCTCCCCCTCTCTCCCCTCACCATGACACCTGATGACACTTGACCCCTCCCTCCCCCAAACCGTCCCCCATGTTGTGTCAAGTGATGTAGGAGTCAACAGGTCATGGAGGTCATAGGTCAAGCTGGGTGAGTGATAAGAAATAAATGCTTCTGTTTTATGTGTATAAGAAAAAGTCTTGACGTATGTGTATGATGGCAGTAAGTCATCATATTAGCTCCCCTGTTAGCTCCTCCTCTTAGCTCCTCTCCTCTTAGCTCCCCCTCTTAGCTCCCCCTCTTAGCTCCTCTCCTCTTAGCTCCCTCCTCTTAGCTCCCCCCTCTTAGCTCCTCTCCTCTTAGCTCCCCTCCTCTTAGCTCCCCTCCTCTTAGCTCCCCTCTTTGCTCCCCTCTTAGCACCCCCTTTAGGTTACTCTTACACCTTCAGTCTTACTATGATTATGCAAATAGACTGACTCACCTTCGTTCTTATATATTACCACTATTTAACCAGGTAAGGCAATGCAAAGTTGAAGGCAATGTTGTTCTAATCTTTTTCTTTTTCATAAGTGTGTGTGTGTGTGTGTGTGTGTGTGTGTGTGTGTGTCTGTGTGTGTGTGTGTGTGTCTGTGTGTGTCTGTGTGTGTGTGTGTGTCTGTGTGTGTATATATAAACACACCATTGAAAAAAACAAGAACTATTTAACATTAATACCTTACGTCTGTATTTTCACACGTGGGTAATTACAGTATCTAGTTAAGGTAAATGTTTGGTGGGAGGAGAGAAGGTGATTGGATTACAGTGTTCACAGGTAATGTTGGCATCACGGCTCACATTATAGTTATTAACCTGATCAAGTCCCTCAGCAATGGCAGATCGGGGAGGAGGGGTGAGAGGGTGAGAGGGTGGGTCACAGGAGGGGGTAGGGGAGAGGTCGAGGGAGGGAGGGAGAGGGAGGGTGGGAGAAGAAGGAGAAAGAGAGAGGGAGGGAGGAGGAAGGACGAAGGACGAGGCTCAGTAACCATATATGTCGCTTTTTGACCTCGAATTTTTTTTCTTCGACTTTTTTTTTCTTTACGAGGCGATTACTGACCAGTGACCACCCTGATGAAAATGGAAAGTACAATTGTTACTTTCACTCACGTATTTTGTAGCTTTTTTGTGTGTGTTTCTTTTATGGGTTTGGGGGTAGTGACCTGAGGAAGATGGGGTGGGGTGGGGTGCGGTGGGGTGGGGTGGGGTGGGGTGGAGTGGGGTGTACAGGTGGTATGGATGGACGCACCTGCCCTTGACCGAACACCTGTAATTAGAGGATATTTTAAAGGTATTATTCTTAATGTTTATTTGGACTACAGAGATTTATTCTTGTGTTGTATTTTATTTTTAGTAAATTGTTAGCTTATTTATTTGTTTATTGTTGGAACAGCTATACTGTTTTTATTATGGTTGTTGTTGTTGTTCTTGTTTTATTGTTGTTGTTGTTGTTATTATTATTGTTATTATCAAAGAGTAATTATAACATAAGGTACGAGGTGTGAGAGGGAGGCAGGGTACGGGGAGGACGCGGCCTGACACCCGAGGCTGTGCTATGGTGTGTGTGAGTGAGGGGCGTTGCCCTCTCTCTCTCTCTCACACACACACTGTCCTGACCGCTGCCTCTCCCTCCCTCCCTCCCATCTCATCTACCCATCCCATCCACCCCTTCCATGGTAATCCCACCTCACCTTCTCTTTTCCCCTTATCTTCGCCTCTTCCACTTTATCCCCTCTCCTCCCCGCCTCCTCCATCTTCCTATGTGAAATTCAAAACCCAATTTTAAATGAGAAACAACAGTACATAATCATAATAGTAAATTGACAGCACATAACCTATACTTATTTATTTATACATAAAACACATTGATATAAACATTCACACACAGCCAAATAAACATTCTCTTAAAAAAAAGACACGATTGGTTTTATATCATTCACCAGGAGCTGTAAACTCGTCCATGAGGAAGCTTATAATGTTTTCCCTGTACTAAGACGGCCCTAACACACCTCCCTTGGGAACTCCCCGACTTGGTGCCTGCTGAATACTTAGTGACGTGTGGCAAGGCTAGTGTGAGGGCGAGTAGAGGGGGGGGGGGCAGGTAGAGAGAGAGAGAGAGACAAAGAAACAGGGGGAGAGCGAGATGGATTTAAAGAGAGAGAGAGAGATACACATATAGACTATAGACAGAGTGAAATAGACAGACAGACAAAGAAAGAAGCAGAGAGAGAGAGAGAGAGAAAGAGTTAGACAGAGAGATACACATATAGACAGAGAAATCTACAGACAAAGAATGAAACAGAGAGAGAGAGAGAGAGAGACAGTGAAATAGACAGACAAAAGAAACAGAGAAAGAGTTCGACATAAAGAGAGATATATACACTTAAAGATAGTGAAATGGACAGACAAAGAATGAGAGAGAGAGAGATAGAGAGAGAGAGAGAGAGAAAGTAGTCGACAGTGACCTTCGTATATTTTTATTTTTTTTAGGGTGGTTCTATAGCTGTTCCGTTTAGGGTACAGAGAACTACCCTTTACTGCTAGTGTAATTATCCTCTTATTGCCTATGGTAGTGATGATGGGTGTAGTGTTATGGTGTGTTTTAGGGCAGGTTGATGGAGGAGGTATAGTGTTATGGTGTGTTTTAGGGCAGGTTGATGGAGGAGGTGTAGTGTTATGGTGTGTTTTAGGGCAGGTTGATGGAGGAGGTGTAGTGTTATGGTGTGTTTTAGGGCAGGTTGATGGAGGAGGTGTAGTGTTATGGTGTGTTTTAGGGCAGGTTGATGGAGGAGGTGTAGTGAGAGTGTATGGTTACGGTGGTCAGGGGTGTAGGTACAATGTGTTTAGGTTAGGTTTGGTTAGGTTAGGTTAGGTTAGGTTAGGTTAAGTTAGGTTAGGTTAGGTTAGGTTAGGTTAGATTAGATTAAGTAAGTGTAATTTTGTCTTACATAAGCAGACTCCCACAGGACCAGTTTCAACAAGCACAACTCACACGAACACCTCCCTGCCTTCACTAGCATTACGAGAACAAATAGCCCACACAACACCTTCTTCCCACAATGTAAAGATAATTGAAATTTGTCTGTGTACCCGTAACCAGGAACTTACACACACACACACACACATATACACACACACACACACACACACACACACACACACACACACACACACACACACATACACACACACACACACACACACACACACACACACCCACACCCACACACACACGTACGAGACAGAGAGAGGGAGAGAGTGGAAATTGGCCATTGTTTGTGGAGGCGGGTCCGGCCTGCCGTGGATATCCTTGGAAGGGGCATTGCCCTTTCGAGAAGCTTGAATTATTACGGGACACAACGGGATGAGAGCGGCGGTGGTGTGATGGTAGTGGTGGTAGTGGGAGGGAGGGGTACTGGTGGTAGTGGGAGGGGGTGGGGGGGGTACTGGTGGTGGTGGTGGTGGTATTGGGAGTGATGATGACTGTGTGGGGTGGTAGTCGTGGGAATGGTTATAATAATTGTGATGAGGGAAATAGTGATGGTGCTGGTGACTTTCTCTTCCCCCTGAATACAATGTCGACAACGGTGATATGATGGTGTTGATGGTGACTAGGACGGCCGACATTTTTGCTATGGTGATGGTGGCCGTGTTGGCGGTAGCGGCTGCAGAATCCGACGGCCCTGAATGTCACTAGCTGCCCTTCGGTCCCGCGTGTAAACAATGACGGTGGTGCTGTTGCGGAAAATGTTCGGGATCACATTTTTATTAGTGAGATAAATAGTTGACTGGGCGCTCATGTCGGCGGCTGATTAAGACTGACTTTAATTATGTGTCAGTTGTTGGGATGAGGTGAAGATTGATGGTGTGTGTGTTTGTGTGTGTGTGTGTGTTTGTGTGCGTGTGTGTGTGTGTGTGTGTGTGTGTATGTGATATGTATGAGTATTTCTTAGTGATTATGTCTTTGTTTTTAGAAGTTGTGCATATATTTATTCTTGTATTAAACTGTAAGATATCGTACTCAAGAGATTAAGATATCGTACTCAAGAGGTTTAAACACAATGCTGGGAATAAATACATAGAATACATTATACTCTTGTTACACGGACAGTAGTCTCTTTAAGTTCCAAGTTAGTTTTTGTTTCTCGTCTAGACAAAAAAAAAACAGGATTGTGTGTTTTTATGTCTCAGGCTGGAGGTGTAAAAAAAACACACAACTCAGATGGTGTTTGACCTGTCTTCTTTTTTTTTTACATCTTGAAAATTATTTACAGTTTACACAGAAGGCTGGTGGTTCCCTACTTCTCTTCCTCTTGTTCCTCCTCCTTCTTCGTCTTCCATTCTCCCCTTGTTAAACCTTCCTTCACCAGTATGACCCTAGCCTTCCTTCCTTCCTTCCTTCCTTCCTTCCTTCCTTATAGATGTTTATATTGCAATTGCTGTTTGGCACGTCACTTTTTGTCATGAATATTGATGTTAGGTTAGGTTATGTTTGGTTAGGTTAGATGAAACTAAATTAAAGTTTTCAAGTTAATTTAATAAGTGTCTCTCTCTCTCTCTCTCTCTCTCTCTCTCTCTCTCTCTCTCTCTCTCTCTCTCTCCTCTCCTCTCTCTCTCTCTCTCTCTCTCTCTCTCTCTCTCTCTCTCTCTCTCTCTCTCTCTCTCTCTCTCTCCACCAAAACAACAAAGACAGAAGGTAAATAGAATGATGATGAGTGTTATTCCTAGAGGTAACTGGGAGAGCGAGCTGAGGTGGGTCACAGTACTCGTGTCACCCGCTGCACCGTATACTGGCTCACGTGCACGGCTTTTAAACACACTGATTGCTTGCACACACACACACACACACACACACACACACACACACACACACACACACACACACACCGGTTGTATATACACAGATTGTACTTACACAGTTTACACATGCACACACTACGTCTAGACAGTAATGCAACTAAAGGTTCTCTCCTTCGTCGGCGTCTCCGTCTGTAGTGAGCATCTTTGATCCAACAGTCGTCAAACTTGGCTTTAGGGTGACGAAGGCGGCGAAGGGGACTACAGGAAGATAGATAATAAGAAGGAGTTTGTATCTAAGTAATCTGAAACAGTATTGACCAGTATCAAGAGGTGAAAGGCTCCAGAGAACTGCCAGTCGTCTTGTTGCAGACTGTAGGCTATTAAAACCTGTACTGATCTTGTAACAGTATGTATGTATGTATGTATGTATGTATGTATGTATGTATGTATGTATGTATGTATGTATTAAGAGGAGGTTAGCCATAATTGGAGTCAGGGAGGGAGGGAGTTATTGATCACCCCTGGTCATAGGAGAGGTACAAGTGTTAGTTAATTTTAATCTACTGACTCAAGGTTCAGTCGGCTGTATGTCGGTCTGAATTACCCGTTATTATTATTATTATTATTATTATTATTATTATTATTATTATTATTATTATTATTATTATTATTATTATTATTGTTATTGTTATTACTGTACCGTGAGTGCACCGTAGCCTTGAACAAGTATACACAAGCTATATCACAAACAATAACTTTATATACATGAGGTTGTAATACTAATCTGTAAACACATATACATACCTAATATTCTTTATGTATATTTCTCTCCTCCACATCATTGTATACAAATTAAATTAACTGATGGATGATGGCGCGTTACTCTGATGACTCGACCAAGATAAATCCTCAATGGTTTAGTTTGTGGTCAGGTAGACAAGGCTGTGTAACTGTACTGACTCCTGCCAGTCCCCTCACAACACGCCGACTACAATGTGTGTGCTTGGTTGTGTAATGAGACGGACACTTAGCATTATTTATCGGTGTACGTGACGATATGTTGATGATATTAAGAAAGTTTTTGTTGTTGTTATTATTATTATTATTATTTGGCAGTTTAGCAGACATATACATAAGAATTAATTGACAGTGGAGAAGGATTTTCAAATATTCTTAAGATGCAATAGTTGTACCTGCCACTCACTCACTCACTCACTCACTCACTCACTCACTCACTCACTCACTTAACTGACAGCTATATTCTATCATCTCCTCATTTTTCAAACTTTACTGAACTTAATTCACTAAAACACTCTCAGTAACTGTGCATTTGGTTTTGTTACTGTAACGTATGCTGTGTTGTGGTCGAGTCTCTGAGCGATTTGGGTGTCATTGTACCAGTCATGTCTGTGTCGTAGCATGAGTAACCTAACCTAACCTAACCTAACCAAACCTAAATGTATGATTAGTAAGAACTCGGTGTGTGGTGTAGGAGTGAAGGAAGGACTTGGTGTGTGGTGTAGGAGTGAAGGAAGGACTTGGTGTGTGGTGTAGGAGTGAGGAAAGGACTTGGTGTGTGGTGTAGGAGTGAAGGAAGGACTTGGTGTGTGGTGTAGCAGTGAAGGAAGGACTTTGTGTGTGGTGTAGGAGTGAAGGAAGGACTTGGTGTGTGGTGTAGGAGTGAAGGAAGGACTTGGTGTGTGGTGTAGGAGTGAAGGAAGGACTTGGTGTGTGGTGTAGGAGTGAAGGAAGGACTTGGTGTGCGGTGTAGGGAGTGAAGGAAGGACTTGGTGTGGTGTAGGAGTGAAGGAAGGACTTGGTGTGTGGTGTAGAATTGAGGAAAGGACTTGGTGTGTGGTGTAGGGGTGGAAGAGGAAGGACTTGGTGTGTGGTGTAGGAGTGAAGGAAGGACTTGGTGTGTGATGTGAGAATTGAAGAAAGGACTTGGTGTATGGTGTAGGGGGTGAGAGGCCTTGGTGTGTGGTGTAGGGTGGAAGGAAGGACTTGGTGTGTGGTGTAGGGAGTGAAGGAAGGACTTGGTGTATCAGTGTGGGGTGAGAAGGGCCTTGGTGTGTGGTGTGGGAGTGGAAGGAAGGACTTGGTGTGTGGTGTGGTGAGGAAAGGACTTGGTGTGTGGTGTGGGGTGAGAAGGACTTGGTGTGTGGTGTAGGGAGTGAAGGAAGGCCTTGGTGTGTGTGGTGTAGGGGTGAGAAAGGCAGCAGTGTGTGTGTAGGGGAGTGAAGGAAGGACTTTGTGTGTGGTGTAGGAGTGAGAAAAGGACTTGGTGTGTGGTGTAGGAGTGAGAAAAGGACTTGATACGTATTGAAACAGTTTATTTAGCCAGAAAAATACAGAGTAAATAACAATAAAAATATTGACATTGAGTCAATGGCGAGCCTGAGCACACTTAGTGGTACCTAATATACAATACATTTATCTCAAGGAATTATTATATAACATTTAATATCATCTGAATTAGTACATATAACCTGGTACGTGGGAGAATGTTACCACGATTATCATTAGTTAGTTAGTTATTGAGGTCTGGGTGTGAGAGGAGCGCATGGGGAGTGGTCTTAGTAGGTCTGGGTGTGAGAGGAGCGCATGGGGAGTGGTCTTAGTAGGTCTGGGTGTGAGAGGAGCGCATGGGGGAGTGGTCTTAGTAGGTCTGGGTGTGAGAGGAGCGCATGGGGAGTGGTCTTAGTAGGTCTGGGTGTCTTATATAGTAAATTGTTTAATAGTTTGATCAGTTTTTATCAAGTAGGTTATTGTCCTTAACCCACACACCCTCACCCTCCACACTCATAAAGGTCTAATAAGTCCTTATGAATCCTTGTGAGAGCTTATGAATCCTTATGAGTCCTTATGAGTCCTTAGTAGTCCTTATGAGTCCGTACGACCTCCGTTAACCGCCTTATGTATGAGCAAGATGGCAGCGCTAGTGAGGTTCCCGTTGGCTTAAAATATAATTAAAAAGACTCAACCTATCTTGACTTATATAACCTTCATTCAGGTATTTAATTACTTTTTGTGAGTTTAATTAAATGGTTAATACACACGTGATAATTACCTTAGTGAAGAAATACCACAATATTTATTAGACTTAAGTTAAAGTCTTATCAAACTTGGAGTGTCTCAAAGATTCACTTGTACTGTAAAAAGTTATAAAAACTAGTGAATTTTTTGTTCATTAATAATTTTACCGAGATATAAATATAACCATCTGAGTATATCGATCAAATATATGAACTGTGATGCTGCTGACATTTAATAACTTAATATATCCGATACTTTTTATTATATAAGGTAGTATGTTGTGTGAGGGCATCAAGTCAGCTTTTTTGAGGGGGAGGGAGTGGAGGATGGGTGGCACTGAGTCACTATTGATGGCCAAGCGACCCTCTCTGGCTACCACAACAACATCGAGGAATAATGATAGACTTGGCCAATAATATATCCTGTCATTAAAAATTTTACAACAACGATGATTTTAGACATGAATGTTACCTGACAGAAGTTTGAAGGTGTAAGTACCAGATGCCGCTATAATATATAATGCTATAAAAGTAGTGTTGGGTTGGTTATGGCCTGAGTAGAGCTTCATATTAATGTATATATTTCACTATTAACCCAAAAAATTCCACCAGATGTGTTATTACCACGTTGTTGAAGGTGATAAATGTTATAATTAAGATAAATTTAAATAATATAATAATGTTGGCCACTTCCCAGTACACCATATTAACATTTAATACACTCAACAGGTACAGATAAATTTGGTTATGTTAATAGTTGTGTAGTTTCTCGTTGTAACAGTTCTGGTTATCATTTAGGAAGTGGCTGAGATAAACAGGTAGGAGAGACAGTGTTGCCAAGTAGAGTAAGTAATCATTATCGCCCATTGTTTACCACGCAGAATGTATACAAATATTAAAAAAAAAAAGATATTAACCTGTTTATATCTACCTTAACTCACCCTGTGTTTAATATATGACTTGGGTCTTATTTGGTTAGGTTATAAATGTCAGGGGCTCGATGGTGAAGGATGGTGGGAAGGCCCTTAACAAGCTCACCATGGCAGCCACAAGGTTCCCACAAAAATGTAAACAAAAGAAGTAGTGGAAGAAGAAGATGGCATAATTAGGTCTCACTGAGGTCAACTGTGACTTAATATAACCAAGGTTGTTGTAGCCTCACCTGCTTCACCACCTGTATGATGCAAGTAATCAATTAAGGCGAACAAAGACTTGATTAATGAATGTTTAGTGAATGAACATGAGGGAGGTAAAATTAACCCCTGAAACTCCTACCAGTAATTTTGTACTAAAGCAACAGGTTTGGTTAGGTTAGGTAAGGGTAAATTTGGTTAGGTTAGGAGTGCGTTTGGTTGGGTTGGGTTGGGTTGGGTTGGGTTGGGTTGGGTTGGGTTGGGTTGGGTTGGGTTAGGTTGGATATATCAAGGTTTCATTACGTTATGGTAAGATATGAGATGGATAAAGCTAAAATAGTCTTCGAATCCGGGGTTTTATTATCCTGACAAAAATTCATGACGTATTCTATGTGTCAGCTTTACACATCCTTCACACATCCTTCACACATCCTTCACACATCCTATATATCAACTTCGTATATCCTGTTGGCTGGCTAGTTTATGCATGCATCACGTATCACACCAAGTAGGACACGTACCTCTGGGGAAGTTAACGGTGCCAGCGAACAACACCCGAGCAGAACCTTGAGTCCCGTCTTGTTGGCTGGACGCGTTCACCACCTCCAGCTTTCTACAGTCGACCTCGCAAGGTTTTCCGTGGTAGTACCGAGGTTGACGCGTACATCCGCCCTCACTCTACACCACACCGGATCTGTTGTCGTGCTGTGAGCCAACGTCAAAGCAGGGGCATGTATTCCCGTCATAGGAAAAAGAACTGTGCGGTACTGTGAGCTCATGACATATCAGAATCTTGAGTGTTACAGGCTTACCACACTGCTGCACGGCCTCCAGTATTAGATTAGAGTGTTTAAGAACTGTTAGTGATAAGAAGGAGTTTAGTTTATCTTTGTGCATTTTATTCATTTTATACACATGATTTATTTATCTTAACTCTGTCTGTTTATGTGTGAGTGTATCGTATTAGTGCTAATAGGCTCCGACCTAACTTGACTAAACCAAACTTAAGCTAACCAAACTTACCCTAACCAAACTTAAGCTAACCAAGCTTAAGCTAACCAAACTTAAGCTAACCAAACTTAACCTAACCAAACTTAAGCTAACCAAACTTAACCTAACCAAACTTAAGCTAACCAAACTTAATAATCAGGTTAAATTAGGGCCAATTTTGAAAGTGCTCATTTGACCTGCCATCATAATAAGCAGACACAGAGGATAAGGTCAGGGTTACACACACACACACACACACACACACACACACACACACACACACACACACACACTAAATTACCTGTATTACCCTGGAAGATGTGGAGGGGGGCAGGAAAGAGGAGTACAGTATAAAACTAATTAAAGATTGTAAAAATCTCACCACTACCATTAATGACACCACCACTACTACCTACTACCACTACCTACCACCACCACTACCTACCACCACCACTACCTACCACCACCACTACCTACCACCACCACTACCTACCACCACCACTACCTACCACCACCACTACCTACCACAACGACTATCACCTACCACCATCACTTTTTTTTCTTTTTTTTTATAACGTGGCCTCCAGCCTCCCCCAATAGCCACACCTTCGCCACCATTTTATTACCTTAATATTAAATATCCTCATACATAAGTTGAGCCGCAGATCTATGCGGCATTCGGTGACTGTAGCCTCATAGTCAATATCTGCAGCAGTTGTCGGAGTAGGGGCAGAAGCTCTCGTTCCCCTGAGGCAGAGCAAAGCCGACCGAAGGAGAGAAAAAGACAGTCGACATCTCATCCAGGCTGTAACGAAACTTCTGGGCTGCTGCTTCTGTTCGGAGATCAACTCCGCGAGTCTGGCGTAGAAACATCTTGCACTTGGTCCCATCCCACCAGAGGTTGTGAACACTAGAGGAGTGAAGCTGCCTTGATCAACATTTTGAATTCTCTCCCCGTATGCCCTTCTCTTGTCGTTCTCGTTCCTCCTATGTGCAGCATCGAGAGCTAGGTTACGGTGACAAGCGGCCATGGGATCAAAAATCCTAATGTCGAAGAAAGCTCGCTGTCCCCTACCACCACCATCCCCCAGTACCGTTACACAAACACCCGCCTCTAGCCAAAGTCTCCACCACATAACTAACGGAGCAGGGAGAAAAAAAAAACAACAACAACACCAGGATTTTCGTAATAATTAAAGATGGAAGATGGCGAAGACCTTGACGAGGATGATCCATTTCTGTCATAATTAACCAGGTAAATCATCCAAACCCCGACAGGTAGGTTGGCAGGTGGTGGTAGTGTTTACAGTGGTTTCAAGTAACGGTCACAATACAAGTTAAACTGGAAAGAGGCGAATACAAGTTAATTTATAAATATACGTTTTGACAGGAGTTCTCACATGAAGATTATCCTTAATTGAGGGTCTCCAGCGGCTTATCCCCTGACTAACACAACACTGGATCATCAGACTTCTTATTCTAAAGCACTCGTCGACCTTGTAGAAAAGTAATAACATTTGTTGATGCGCAGATAATGCTTGATTATAGCTCTTCTGCGCAGGTCCCACGACTCAACGAGCTTCAGGTACCGTTGTATTGATCGCCATGTTTTTTTTGTTTTTTTTATCGAGGATTTTATCACTACCGACGCCCTCACACACACACACACACACACACACACACACACACACACACACACACACACACACACACACACACACACAAGAGATCAGGCTGTATATTCATAGGCTTCATACGAGTAATTTTTTTCCCCTTGAATGAGAATAAGACAACCTTATCTAGTTACAGTAGAGTCTTTGTATATTTTAGACACCATTATGTCTCCATGGTTTTCACATTGTCTAACCGACCCATTAAGATACATTCTCGTACCCACAGTTAGGGAAGAGATATTTTACATACGAGTGTGGGTGATCAATTGAAGGTAACATCTAGTCTGTGTAGCAATAGTGGAGATGTGGCGAGAGAGAGAGAGAGACATCTGTAGCCTTGTTTGATATGTCTTCTAGGTTATCAGCCACCTCTCTCTCTCTCTCTCTCTCTCTCTCTCTCTCTCTCTCTCTCTCTCTCTCTCTCTCTCTCTCTCTCTCTCTAACACCTGCATTGGCCACATTCGTCTTAATCAGGCTCGCCAGGTCGACCCCACACCTGAGCCCAACACCTGTGCTGGGGAGTGTGAGGTGTGGAGGGTAGTCATCTGTTGTCCTCATATCCTCAATATTCGCACTGACGTCAACTTTGGCACCTAGGGGAGGGAGGGGGGATGGAGGGGGATTGGTTATAAGAATAGGGGGAAGGGGAGAAGGGGGATTGGTTATAAGAATGGAGGGAAGGAAGGAAGGGAGGAGTCTGAAAGGGAGGGGAAACATGGGAGGCATCTGGAAGTATATGGAAAATAAGGAGGAGGAGGATAAAAATCTAAAAGGATATGGGAAAGAAGAAGAAAGAGAAGAGGTCATGGAAGAGGGAGTTTCATGGAAAGGGAAGTGTAATTCTGGTAGCGAGGAGACAGAGAAGTGACCAAACTGCTCACCAACACAACACGAAGACACCAGCCTATTCCTGGACGTCAAGATCGAGGTGGTGGCGGCTCAGTCCTACCCCCTTCCCTTCCACCCCCCCTACCCCCTCCCCCTCTACTCCCCCGTCCTCCTCCACTTCCCCCCCTTCCAGACATATCAGGAGGTTGACGATCTTTCTAAGCACTTGACCCTGAAATTGAGAGAGAGATTACTGAAGTGGGAAATCGTCTCCTTGAGTGTATGTGTGTGTGTGTGTGTGTGTGTGTGTGTGTGTGTGTGTGTCTCAGTAAGTAAAGAACTGAATAAACAAGCTGGTTTTTTTCTATGTAAATGAACTTGTATTATCCAGATTCAATGAGTGAGCGCGTTGAGGTGTTGACTCACTGTCCTCACACATCAACATAGTCATCATCATCATTATCATCATTATTTTCCTCTTCCTCATTATCATTATTAGTTTCCTTCTAATCATCATCTTTATCATCATCATTATTTTCTTCCTCCTCCTCTCCTCCTCATCATCATCATCATAATTATTGATAAACTTCATTATTGCGATTTAAGAAAGGAGACCAGATGAAGGAAAGAAGAATAGGAAGATAGGAAGAGGTGGAGGAGAGGCAAAAGAAGAAGGGGGAATAGGAGAAGGCACTATGACGCAAGGTAAGGGGGAAGAAAGGGTGAGGGGGGGGGGGAGAGGTGGTAGAAAAAGAAGGAAGAGGAGGAATGAGGGAACAGGGAATTATAAAGAATATGAAGATAAGTGAAGAGGAAGAAAGAAGAAAAGAAATAAAGGGAAGAAGAAGGTGACTGACGTTGATGTGGTGGTGGTGGTGGTGGTGGGCAGCTGTGTGACCTCCTGCACCGTTATGTCCCCCAGGCTCCCTCTCCCTCCCACTCTCCCTCTCCCTCCCACTCTCCCTCTCCCTCCCACTCTCTCTCTTCTTCCCACTCTCTCTCTTCCTTCCACTCTCTCTCTCTCCCTCCCACTCTCCCTCTCCCTCCCACTCCATCTCCCTCACTCTCTCTCTCTTCCTTCCTCCTCTCTCCTCCCTCTCTCTCCCCTCCCACTCTCCTCTCTTTCTTCCCTCTCTCTCTTCCTCCCACTCTCTCTCTCCTCCCTCTCCTCTACCTCCCTCTCATCTCCCCTCCCTCTCTCTCTCTTCCTTCCCTCTCTCTCCCTCCCTCTCCCTCTCCCTCCCTCCTCTCTCTCCCTCCCCTCTCTCTCCCTCCCTCTCTCTCTCCCTCCCCTCTCCCTCCCTCCCCACCTCCCCTCCCCTCCCTCTCTCTCTCTTCTTCACTCTCTCTCTTCCTTCCTCTCTCTCCTTCCTCTCTCTCTCCCTCCCTCTCTCCCTCCCCTCTCTCTCTCCCCTCTCTCTCTCCCTCCCCTCTCCCTCTCCCTCCCTCTCCTCCCTCCCTCTCCCTCTCCCCTCTCCCACTCTCTCTTCCTCCCTACTCTCCTCTCCCTCTCACTCTACCTCTCTTCTCCCTCCTCTTCCTCCCTCTCTCTCCCTTCACTTTCTCTCTCCCTCCCCACTCTCTCTCTTCCTTCCCCTCTCCTCTCTCTCCCTCCCCTCTCCCTCTCCTCCCCTCTCTCTCTTCTTCCCTCTCTCTCTCCCACTCCACTCTCCCTCTCCCTCCCTCTCCCCTCTCCTCCCCTCCTCCCTCCGTCAATCTCTTCACCCTCCTACTCGTCCTTCCCAACCCTTCTCTTACACACACACACACACACACACACAGACACGTTCTGAGAACTCATTTTCGCAATTGTTTCACTTTGCCCAACAGGCGTTCACTTTATCAACAAGATTTTACATTCCATAACATGAGGTCACATTCACACGATATAATATTCACATCAAACGTTCACTCTCAACAATTCATTTTCACAACACTCGTTCACTCACAGGTGTTCATTTTCACACAGGTAGGTACCGTCCACCAACGACCTTGCCATAGCCTTAATATACCTATGTGTGGGGTACAGGTAAACAACACGGTATTATAGTAGAAGCGAAGTGGGCGTTGCTCTCTTAAGATAAATAATCATATTGCTGTCTGTCTGTCTGTCTGTCGGTTTTTTCAGGGGGAGTAGTAGGGGTGGGGAATTCAGATTCCGTAAATGGTATTCTTGATATTCTGACT